GTGGAAGCAATCCGGGCGGCAGTGGAGAATCCCCTCTTCCCCCAGGCTGGGGACCGCGAGGCGGTGGCGACCTAGGGCATGGGAAACCCATTCTGCCAGTACCACAGTCTCGGCCCTCTGAGTTATCCTAAAGTGGGTTTAGTGATGTTCGGGTTGATGTTTTTTTTTTTTAAACCTGCCCATTGCTTTTCTCTTGCTCTCCCCCGGAGTTTTGTTTGGTACGCAATCACTTCCAGATGGAAAACCAGACTGCAGTTGAGAGTCACATTCATCCAGAGCCTTAAAACCACACCGTTGCAGAAAAGATTGAGATGAGAATAGCATAACCCCGTGGGACAGCAGGACAGCCTGCCACCTATTTGGTGCCACAAGAACCTTTGTGGTCACATAAAATAAAATTTTAATAACTCTCTCTTATTTCCTTTTTCCTTTTCTTGTTATACCCATAGGCTTTTACACATATTCATATGCACGTATATCTATACGCATACACACACATATATATATGTATATACATATGTGTGTGTATATATATATACACACACACATCCCCCGAGTGAATTGGGATTGGGCAGAGAAGCGTTTGCCATTAATCTGGGAACAAACCGCTAACCTCGGTGACTGGTATTTTAGCTTTTCTTTTCTCGCTTCTCTCAGTGCGGGGAGAGCAGTAAAGCTTGTGTGGACTGATTGTGAGGGGCTCTGCTGGAATTTGGCAGGCCAGGGGCTTGGAGAGAAGCCCCATGCTGACTCCTATTCAGCGGGCCAGTTTTCTGCGAGCTTTGGAAGTTTCACTCAGCCGTGCACTCAATGGCTTCACAAAGCTGATTACAAGCTTCAGCGCATTCCTGAAGGAGCCAAAAGCGACGCAGGTGCAAACGAGCCGAGGGAGCCCCTTATCCCGGTGACAGAATGGGACAAGCTGGGAAAGGCTTGGACCACACAAATCCAAGGCTCACCAGGCAGCAGCAAGCCTGCCTTGGGAACCAGGGATCATTATCCGCTCCATTCAGCGGGGACCCAGCGGCGGCAGCGGCACGTCCCCAGGCTGGGGACGGCTCCCGGTGCTTTCTGTCCCGGGTGGGAGCAGCGCCACTTCACCTGGCATCCCCTCTCCGCTCCCTTCGCGGCTACCTCAGGCATGGACCTGAGGTGCCCCTGTTCGCCCGAGCTGATTTGTATCCCAGTATCTGTTAGGCTTCAGCCTGCCGCCTGAAGCACCTCGCCGGTTTTTTCCCCTATTGCCCCATCACACACGAAAAGCCTCCCACCCCTCTCCCTCTTCCCTCTTCCCTTACACAGATAAACACGGTGTTTAAGGGTCTGTCTGGAAACCCAGCACAGAAAATGCACTGATCCGAAATGGCAGGTTTCCTCCCGACTGAAGTTCTCTAACAAACACCCTATTTTGAAGACTGCCTTTAATTCCAGAGTGAAACCAGCCGAGAGTGCACACGCCTCCCCTTCCAATTACTCGAGCCACTCGATTCCCACAGAAACCTCCCGCACCATAAGCGCCTGGTGAATCCTTTCTGACTCGGTGAAAGCAGCCCACGGTCCCTGCCCTTCTTGTCTCCCCGGCGAGCGAGGGGGTGGCGAGAAGTCGAGGGGGTCTCGGTGCCGGTGAGGGTGAGGCGTGATTTCTTTTAATTAGGGGTTCTCGGAAGGAGTTCCTCTCGCCTCCGCTCCCTCGCCCCCTTTCCTCGCTCTCAGCCCTTCCTCTCCAGCCGGGAGAAGAAGCTGCACTTTACTTCGCTGCAAAATTAATTACGGCCCTTCCCCGTATCAATTACGGAGGAATCAGCCTTTCCTAGGGAGAGGAGAAATAATCAAAAGGCTTTTCAGTCTTGCTGGGGGAGGACGATCTCGGACCGCCGAGCATATAATGCGGCAAGGGAACTGCCGCACTTCTGGCCGCTGGTTTCATATGCAAATGGAGAGCTGCCTCCAAGTTATCATTATGGTTTTATTTTTTTTCCTTAATGTTATTATTGTGTCGGGATTTTAATAGCCACATGCTCTACCCTTCCCTTTCAGCGAGGTTTCCTTGGCGATCAGCCACGCCGCTTCTTCCCCGGGCACGCTGCCCCCGCCCCAGCGCCTGCCCCACGTCCATGTTAATTTCGCCCTATGGAAATGAAAGCGGCCCGGCCGGGCAGCTGATATTAAAGCGATCCCCCGGTGCTGGGGCTCGCTCTTCCCGCTCCTCGCAGCGGCCTTGCCTCCGCAGGAGTGCGGCGTGTCGGTGCCGTCGCCCCTCCCGGCCCCCCGGGCCCGCCGCCCCTTTCATGCTTGCGAGATGCTGGGGAGGCAGCGGTGCGTTTGCTTGTGCGGAGCACACCGCCTGCAAGCGGTTGCCTTGGCAGAAAGGTGCAGCTTTCTGATGTTCTTTTGTCTGATAACTAATTCAAGTTAATGCGATCTTTATGTAAAGCTAACAGCGGATAATTGTCTATTTTCTCGCCAACAATCTCCATCACAATCACTTATCTGGAAACCTGCGGTTGTATTAATCGTTATATTCCCCGAGATAAGCGTCTCTCGAATTATCAGTAAACACTGGAGGGAAATTAAACAAACTCCAGAGCCACTTAAGTTTCCTCTGCAGCTTATAACCCCTTTCTTTAGGTGGGGGGGTTGGGGAAGAGGGGGGAAAGGAGGGAACAACGACACCCCTCAAACCAACCTGGGACCGGAACACAACATGAGAGGGATGTGTGGGTGTGTGTGAAACGGTGGAGAAGGGCCTGATATTTTGGATAGTTTTGATGAACCGAGTCCTGCTGAAGACACCTTCCCTTTGAGGTGCCTATGTGGCAGACAGGCACGCACCTTACGCCCCACTCGCCGGGTGGGGATCGGTCTTTAGCGGCCCCTGGGACCTTGTTGGCAATTCTTGTAAATCATGTAATTAAGTGTATTAGTCGCTGCAGGGGAAAGATGAGCAGCTAGGAGAGAAAACATCAAGAGATTAAGCAGAAGTCGCATGGCTTTAGGTCTGATACACGAGGAGAAGAGAGTTCTGCTTCTTTCCGAGAATCACCATATTAGCACAATTATTGGCAATATTTATACTAAAGAGTGATCTGAACCCCAGGAGGGTAACAGAGAGCGCGAGAGAGCGAAACTACTGTGGGAATATGTTTTACTGCTCAGATCCCATCAGTTCCGTTAGGTGTAAAGAAATTATAGCAAATTGTTCTGGAAACCCCTCCAGGGAAAACATACTTGTATGACAAAGATTTTGTCTTTTTGAGATGAAGTCAAAACATCGGTGTCAAATGAAACTCATTTTAGGGGCGCTGCCATGTATGTGTGTTTACTCGAGTACTTGGGGGGGTGGGGGAAGCAGCCCAAACCATGACATTTCAGTCGTGAAACTGGGCCAGCAGAGCGTTTACGACTTCTTCGGGAAGAGCGAGGCATCCTCCAGCCTCCCCTCGCTCCCCTCACGAAGACTGGGCTGGGGGTACTGCCGTCCTGGAGGCAGTCGACAGTGCTCTGCGCGCTTCGCCTTTGTAGGAGGGTTTTCCACGTCGAAAGCGCTTTATGAACATTAACTTATTAATCCAGGCATTTAGTTACGGAGCAGGCACCCAGGAATTTCAAAACTCGCCTCTATGATAAGCTTTATTTATTGTCGACTGTTTTTTTTAAGCCAACTGTTAATTACAAAGTTTTCCAATGGCACCACTCCCTGCTTGGGGAAGGGAACGACTAGCCTGGGGAAGGTGGGGTGTGGAATGGAAAAAGAAAAAAAACGAACGCAAACCAGAAAAAAAATACCTCCAACGTAACCAAACACAAACAAAAAAAATACCTCAACTAAACACACAAACCTCCTGTTATTTGTGTGTCGTGGCAGCGTAGTTCCAAATATGATCAGTTGGTTTTTTTTTAAATAAAATCTGCTTAGATTCTCGAATTATTTCTCTTGAGCTAAAAGTTCCCAGGGTAGCTTTTCCTTATGGCATTCGAGAATCATCCCACTTCATCTCTCACCTGAATCTTGTCATCTGTGCCATCTTGAAGTGATCTGTGAACAATGCTGGTCCCTTGGACAGCCCAAGCTGGTCAATCAGGCAGAACAGACTATGCAAATGGAATGGAAAGGCGAAGCGATGAAGAACAGTGGCCCCCATTGTCTTGGGCATTTCAAAGCGAAGCCCAGCTGCAGCAGGCGTTGCTGTCTCGGACCCTTGGTTGCTACTCTAATGTCATCATTGCAAAACATCACATTTTGAAAACTCTACAGTCTGAATGCATGATCAGGCCTCCACAAAGATTTCACTTTGCCGTGACATCTTTCGAAGTCATCAGGAAAAAAAAGTGCGGAAAAAAAAACTGTGAAAAAGGGAAAAAAGGGGGGAAAAAAGCCTCCCCTCCCCAACAACTGGGGACTGGGATCCCAGCCACATTGCCCGCCCACGTCCCGCAAACCCTCTCCCTCCACTCCTAATAACTGCGGTGCAGCTGACGCCTTTTGCAACCTTTTTGGTGGACACCTCTCCGTTCTTGTTGTTTTTAGAGTCGAGTCGGATGACGATTGAAGTTGCATTTAACTTATTTTCTGTCGGGTCTCTTTCAGGCACTTTAATGAGCTAATGCTGAGGAAAGGTCGCTGTGAGCAGGCAGTGAAGTATTTATTCACAGTTCCTTCCAAAACTTCAGATATGCGGGGCTTTAAAAGAGTCAGGCAATGTCTTTGCGAGTGATTAAACCAGCAGCTAAGCTGGGTATTTACGGGTCCGTTAGGAGTTTTTGTAAATACTCAGTTTCTTAATACACTCATGCAGTTGCCGCTCCTAACTATTGCTGCCAGCCCTGCTTCAGCTTCGCCTGCCGGCACTGGTCCCAAAATTAGCCCTGCCATGAGAAACGAACTGAACTTTCAGTTCAGTGAAGCTGAGGGCTGTCAGATGATTAATGTGTATTTTCAAGGGACGAAATCATTGCCTGTGTTTCACTTATTGTTCCTTTTCATTTTCTTTTGTCTGTAGGTGACACTTGTGATCACCATGTGGTGAGCAGAGGAAACTCCCCTCTCTTCCACCCTCATGTCAGGAGCCTGTGCTCAAGGAGCAAAGGTCTGTGCCACTGGTATCTAAGAATGTTGGGGGTTACCTTTGCCTCTCCCCAGTCTTCTATCTCATAGGAAATAACGAATCCAAAGCTTCTTCTTCAACAACAGTCTTACAGTGAGCCTACAGAGACGGATAATGCCCCAGCCTCAGACACTGCCTGGTTCATAGATGGAGTGGTCACACATATTAGTGGTCACCCCTGAGTGTGGACTGTTTAGTGTTCATGCAGGAGCAGAGAAGAAAGTTTCATCGGTTTAAGAAAGGTGAGCTAAGAAATTCTTAATTATAGTATTTTGGGGACCAAAAGTAATTCAGTGTTTCTTTCCTACCCCTTCAACTGGCTCTTCCTCTTTAGACTGGGTAATGGATTCTATAATAACATCACATAAATTGCAAAGGACAGAATTATTTAAAAGTTTATTCCCTGTGATTTGATTGGCTTCCTAAAATTAAGGTTGCCCACTTTAGAATGCAGTGGTCAGTAAGAAGGAAAAGATGAGAGTAACAAAGAAAACCAAAGAGAGGTTGAAGTGAATGGGGCAAATAAACTAATGCATAGGCACTGTTTCATCTTCTGGCTGGAAGATCTTTCCCTTTGCCAAAGAGAGTTTTCCAAGGACTGGGTTAAAAGAAGACCTATTTTCAACTGCATCAGCCTTGTGATCAAATGAGTAATAGCAGGAACTCAGACTGCTACCTGCCCAACAAAAATGTTTCGAAAGAGATGATATGCATTGTAAGCACCTTTCTCTGCCAGGTATTTGTTCACTTACCACCCTAAAACTTTACCTACTAGATAAATGGATCCCCCAAAATCTATGTACGGGGAGGTGTTGGACATGCTTTGAGTACCCTCTGGGTCACTCACTGGCTTGAATGCAGAAACCCAGAGGAAAAGCAACGTTGTGCTGCCAGTGCCTACACAGAGGACAACAGCAATGCACATGGCCAGGTGCCAAATGCCCTGTTACTGTAAGTGGGTGCATCTTCATCCAGGTCTCTGCTGAAGTACTTCCAGAAAGAGATTGTGAAGGAGAAGCTTCAAAGAGGAGCAGCAGCTCATCAGGTCTCCCAGGGAGGTGTTGCCTTGGGGATGTGTAGAGGTGGGTGTCCTCTCCATGGACACCACTGTTCCGAGTTGATGATGAGGTGGCCAGACCATGGGAGAGGGAGAGGTGCGCACAAAGTCAAGTCACCATTTCTGACCCAGACATGTCCCTGCCCCCCCTGCAGCCCTATTCTAAGCCCATCCTGCCAGGTGGACCCTACCCCTTCTCAGCAGCCTGCCAGCCTCACATACCAGGGATGAAACCCAAAGGTGTGTTAGCTTGCTCAGGCTCTCTGTCACTTTACAGTACCAAAAGAGTTCCCATCACCCCAGGTTAATGGATTGGGCTCTACTTGGAGGGAAATGGTCCCAAATCTGCCCTTTGGGCGGGGTGCTGGGATAACCAGGGAAAACCTTTCCCAGTGGCCCCATGTGCCCCTGCCAATAGGAGCTAATTGGAAACAAGATCAGCTCCTCCCTTGAGGAGCAGAACTTTGCTTTTGTCTCACAGCTGGAACTTTTGCCCCTTCCCCCTACCAGCTCCAGTCCTGGTACATTCAGCCACAGTTATCTCTGCTTGTGCACTGACTGTATTTTTCATGTTTATTATCATCCAACCCAGTGTAGTGCCATCTGGCACAGGCACAACGGGGGGAAGGAAACCATATATTCAGCAAATGGAGCATACAGGGTTTAGGTTTTGTTTTGCCTTGTTTTTCTTATTCTTCTATTTTCTGTTTAAAACTATGTGGAACAGATAGCTGAGCAACTCTCCCTTATGAAAAATGATCAAAACTGCCAGTATGAAAAATAAAAATTACAGAAGATCAGAGATGCCAGGAAGAGACAAGAACCTCCTTCTGCTGAAATACAGTTTCTTCCTTTCCTCCTTCTGTATTTTATTTCACCTCGTGCTCAGATAATTACTTCAAAATGTTTGTGTTAACTCTTTTCATTCAGGATTTGTTCTGGTCTTTCAAATAATTATTTTACTGTAAGACATGTATTTTAAGCAACTACAAACCACTCTCCTCTAGAGCAGTAGAGCACTATGAGACACCCTGCACTCCTCAAAACCTTTGCTATTTTTCCTGCCACGATAAAAATACTAAAAATGCATCTCCAGAGTAGATATAAAAAACACATGTAGTATTTTCAGTGGAAGCTAGCACCTATTGCATCGCCACCTTAATTCAAAGAGTTTTGTAACAGAGTTGTACAATCAGAGTGTATTTCTTCCCTGATAATTCATGCACTGAAAGATTATCAGTGGAGTTGTCTGTGGAAAAAGTACTACACAATGCATTGTATTACCTGGTTCATTTTCTTTCAAATTTGACTTTAATTTTAATTTTGTCTAATTACTGTATTGTGATCTAAGTCAGCAATCTCAAATTAACTATCATCTTAACTTTTGAAGAAATCCTACAAATGCACGATAATGATGAAATTTAAATTACTGTCAGTTATTGTGTAATGTCTACACCATGGAAAACCAGGCCTTCAGGTATTTTAATTTCATTTGCATATACAGCATTGTGTTTTTTCTTCTTAATTTTTCAGAGTAAAATTCTCTACCATTTCCAAACTATAAAAATGCTATTAAAAACATGTTTGGGGTATTTATTTATTTTGTTTTTCTAAACTGAACAATAGCTTCGGTGAAAATGTGAGAAGAAATAGTTATTGGGAGCAAATTGTCAGCTACTTAGATTTCTTTGGAAAAGCAACTTGTTGTTTTAGAGGTACCAATGCAGAGTAGTAGAATTTTTCTCTGATCCTGCTAAAATAGAGAAACACATTTCAGTGCAATTGACAAAGTATTTGTATTTTGAGCTAGATTCTGCTCTTGCATCTGTTTAAAGTATCCTTTGCTCAAGCCCTGATCCAGAGCTGAGTGATGTCACTGTATAAGGACTTCTAGTGGGCCATGGATCAAGGCCTTTTATACCACTATGCCTCACTATGCTGAGAAATGTTATTTTTACTATATCTTTCTTTTCCCATGAAACCAGATTAATTTGGAATGAATTAGAAATGTTTGAACAGAGATGCTCAGATTTACTTTTTATGGCAATACTTTTAATTTTAAATATTTCTTTCAAATAAATACAATTTGATAGCAAAATAAAACTTTGCATTTCCCAGTATGTTTCCACTCATCTTTGATTTTTGTGTGAATCATACTTTACTTTTACATGTATCTGTTCATTGCCTTATTTCTGGCAACAGAGCATTGAAATTTTTATGTAAATAACAAGCAAAAAGAGAATCTGTTGTAAAATACAGTGTATGACAAAATCATTGAAAGAAGAAAAATAATTTAAATAATGGTTATTCAATAAATGTCAGGAAAGCATTTCTATACCTCCACTGATCGAGGCTGCTATGTAACTTCAAAGAAAGCAATCAAGGTGGACTTCTTATGCAGTAACGTATGGAGCTTTGTTTCAGTGGTTAAGCACATAATTAGAAATTCAACAAGTCTTACCAAAGAGGGTCATAAACAACCACAATTAAAACCTCAAATCTCTCTCTGCTTTGTATGGCAACATGTACAGGGAAAAAAAAGGGGGAGTTTTGGTGATGACTCAGATTAGCTTCAATTAAACTTAGCTTTAACTCTGAGAGGTGTAAGGAAAAGCAGGCAGAACTTTGCTGCTCACTGTTAGAGGTCGTTTCACTTACAACCTGGTAAAATTGCTTCTAAGCATCTCCAATGAAAGAGATACAAAAGAGAAATCAAAGTGGGAGATGCAGTCAGAATGTTACAAATATAACACAGAATCCTTATGTTTTGGTATGCATCAGTAGGTAACAAAGCAAACTTGAATCTATGCATCACTTTCTTCATCCCATATGCATTGAACAGGTTGAATTTTTAAAAAAATCTTGTCATAAATGATCCTAGTTTTCAGAGTTTACAGTGTTTGGATAAATATTTTTAACTTTAATATCCAGAATCAATGATATTATTAATTTGAATATTCAGAATCAATGTAGTTTGGTTAAATGATCTATAAATAATAAAATTTTAGCAGTGATCAGACAGTGGCAGAATACTATTTCCATGTGTTGAAACTATCTTGTGGTACTTATGTGGACTGAAATGACGGAAGAGACTTGTCTCATTAAGCCATGTCTGGAAAGACAATATGTGGAGGAACAAAACCCCATCATGACTAAACATCCCATTTAGATTACCATATTAGTGTTAGGTCATTATAAATGGTAGGTAAGTGAAGCAATGCTTCTTTTCAGTGGTAAGCGCTTCAAAAATTTTAAGGAATTTAAATGCTTGGAAACGTTTTCAGACTTGCCTGCTTTCCTTGTCAAGTTTCACTCTTGATTTCCCTTTTTATTCCTCTAACTCTTCTGAAGTGGCCTTCAAAATGCATAAGCATGGATTTATCGTAAACTTCACTGTTGCAGCGCCACTGTGATTGTTCTGATCATTTCAGGACAAATGTGACAGTTTAAACTAATGACTGAACATCTATTGTGTTAGTGCTGTTTCCTGGTTATCTAGTTATTATTTATTTCCTGCTTGTTCTATTGTTTCTTGCCTTAGGAAGACTCCTGTTTGCTCTGATAAAATTCCTTATAACATGACTGCAACACCAAGGGTTGGGTAAAGGGGGTCTTCTGAATGATAACACAAAGAGCATATAAAGAATCCATCACAGCAGTCAGTAGTATAATGCAATTTTTTTTTCACTAAACATCCTCTTCACTACTGGATTAGTCACTTCACTAATGAGCAAATGACCCATAACTCACATGAGTGGGAACTTTATGTGCAGGTCTTGCCTTTACCAGTGCAGATGAACTGCAGCATCCTTGCTGTTATCTAGTTGCTTAGTATTTATGGCTCCTTCCCATCTTTCTTGGGTATTCCATGCACCATGGGAGTTTCAGGTGTTGAAAAATGCAGGACCCAATGGCAAAAGAGACA